GGGTCGGGACTGCAGGGGTCCAGACACCAGGCTGAGGGCTCTGGGCTGGGGCAGGACCGCCAGGCGGGGGGACAGCCAGCACGGCCAGCCAAGCCACATGACACAGAGACTTGGCCAGGATGCCCATTTCCCGAGGGGCCCAGGAGTCGGGGTGGTTCTGCTCTAGGGACCACCAGGATCGGCCCCTTGGCGGTGTCACTTTACAAGATGGTTTGCTCAAATTTAGGCTTCGAGGATTTGCCCTGCGTCCCAAGCTGATAGCGACACCTATGGGTGGCTGACAGGGTCCGGGAGGCGGGCACCTAGAGCATCTGTAGCCTGCGAAGTTGGCCCCATGTCTGTGGGACCGAAGCCCCAGATTTAGAGCAACCCGGAGACGAAGCCGCGACAGGGCCTCACCGGGCACGCGGCGACCTGCATCATGGCGTCCAGCCCGCCCTCGGGGGCGTCCAGGTTCCCAGAGATCAGCTGCTTGCCGACCTCCGTCTGGAACTGGTTGGAGTTGTCGGTGAGCTTCAGCACGTGCCGGAAGGCGAATGGGGGCTGGCACTCCTTCTCCTTGTTGGGGCACGGGTTCTTCAGCTTCTCGGGGTGCGTGTTGACAAAGGGGAGCACCGTCTTGTCCACAAAGGACCCGAAGCCTGGAAGGGGCGTGAGTGGGGAGGCGAAGGTGACGCTAAGCAGTGAGATGGCGGGACTGCAAGCCCTCGGTCTCCCACGCAGTGCGGGGCGGGGGAGAAAGCAAGACAGTCCGCGGGGCGTGTGAGCGCGCAGGTGTGTCAAGCGTGTGCACACGTGTGATCATGTACGCGCGTGAGTGTGCGTGTCCCCACACACCGAGACAGCGCTTGGAGGAGGCAGCCGTGGTGGTGGCACCTCCCCTTCTGCCGAATGGGCTCTGGGCCCGCGGCTGCGCGTTGCGAGCGAGTCCCTGCCCGTCAGTCTCAGGGCCGCGGCGGGCCTCAGGGCCCCACTGCTGGCGCGATTATTCCGTAGTCCACGTGCTTTCGGGGTCTTTAATTTTTCCCATAACTAGCGCTGTGGGATTATTGTTCTCTGATTGGGGAAGAGGGGGCTGGGCGGTGTCGACGGTGCCAGGGTAGCAGGCACAGGGGAGTCCTCGGCTAGACGCCCCAGGGGCCCTGTGTGGGTGCCCCCAACGCCGTGTCCCCTACTCCCCAACCCCGCATGGGTGTGAGGGAGGGGTTTG